TGACCTCTCCTGTAGCCAGACTGCACCGTGACATCTCTGCAGGAGTCAGAAAGCAGCCCCGCGGGCGAGTGCTGACAGTGCACAGAAAGGTAGTGTAACAGTGAGGAAGCTCAGGCTGGAGGAGCTACACTGCGGCTACTGTGCATAACCCCATGTGTCTGTAAGGCCCTCAGGTTGAATTAACTCCTGTGCTGACAGTGAGACATGACCCACTGTGGAGAAATCCAGGGGAGAGAGTGTTTCAGTCTGATTATGTGTGTGTGTTGGAAGAAGGTGTATTTATGTGCTGCACATAAGCTGTCACAGTCAGGGTGCCTCAGGCCTCTCTCTGCTTATATAGGTATAAGGAGGGAGGAGGCCACATACAGGGGGCTGTGCTGGCTCCTCTCCTGTGGTCTGTTGAGTGTCAACACAGTAATATTTGAATGCCTGTTAGTGTATTTGTTGTTTTGTATATAGTCACTACTTGGTGAGCTACACATGTTCCTAAACTATGTTCACATTACCTGTAAACTACCTGTAAGAAGAGGGTTCATGGGCAGGTCATTGAAATAAATCTAATTCTGGTATCAATGGGATTAACTTGAAAGAAATTAAGAATTTAATTTTTCCACAAACAAGCTTTCAGTCGCATCTCATGGTCTTCCTCAGCTCATGGAATTTGCTTAGTTGCAAGTTTGCAGCACAATTGAGAAAAATCTATCTGCTGAAAAAGAAATGCGGCTGAAAGTTCTGGAAAAAGCTAGTAAGTGAACTTTGAGTGATAGAGTTTATGGTTAAAAATTGATAAGAAAATAGATCATGACTATAATCAAATTATCATTACTTCAAAAAATCATGACTTCCAGTGCTAAAAATGTGAAATATGTAAGTAGTGATCCAAAAAATGCAGTTATCATTAAATAACCACAATAACTTGAAGCAGAGGGAAGTGTATTATTAAAGCTGGACTGGATTGTACTGTTAATTCCATTGATTTAAAAATAATGCATGTTCTCTGTTCCAGTCAAACTTCAGGCTCTCTGGGGCTATGCTATAATTGGTTACACTGTGGCTGTTTAGTACAGTAGGAATACACTTCCCCTTGTTCCCATTACCGTTTCTTTCCCTATGATACAGCTCAAAGTTTCAGGCATATTTTCCACATCATTCATAATACGTGTTAATGTGATTGGTGTCTTGCCGGGTAATAATAAAAAGGGCGTGATGTGTTGATTCACACAGGCCTCTCCAACCACATTAGAGAGCTGAGCCATACGACCATAAATACATTGGATGACCTAACTGCTGGAGTCATTCTGAGAAAGAAAAAAAAAAGGGTTTGTTGCCACTTTTGCTTGACTTTTCTGTTGATCTCTATTCTTCTTTTTTATATATATATATATATATATATATATATACTGTTCTTTCTAGTGGTGAAGTTCAGGGTGTATATATCAAACATATACCTTACAGCAACTTCTATCAGAAATGCCCACAAACAAGGTATTGCTCTACTTACTTTTGTGGTGCTGCAGTGCCCTGGCAAAGGTATTCTTCCACACTGTTGTTGTAAATAGAAAATATGTCTTTTATCAGTTTTCCATGGTAATAAGAAAAATGCAGTGATACATAATCTCACTGCTGCCTCAGACAGAGCCAGCTGTCATGCCAGGTGTATATATTACCGTACAGTACTGTATATATTGGAAGAATGTCTCATGCAGTGGGTTGTGGCCAGACGCTGCAGCAGCTACACTAATGAAGCCACCATCTCCCCATTTTAAAAGAAGTGGCATGCTCAGCTTGTTTAGACCTATAGATATGAGCCCAAACACTACAAAGGCAATACTGGCCTCAGACTTTCGGAAACACACTCTTAGCTAAAGACTGACAAATGACTCCTCTCCCTGTTCTTTTGGTTTTGGCTACTTGTTTGTGACTCCTCAGCTTAGTGAATACTGTAACAGAAAAGTAGATCTAGATGTGACGACAAACTTCTCATTGATCAGTCCAACTCAAAGTACGATCTCTACAACTTTGGTCAGGGTATGGATGACACAAGTAAAATTAAATGCAAATGCAGGACACCCACGTAATGTTATACCATGACATTTGATTCATTGCTGAGCGGAAAGACTTTCTGCTCCATGAGACTCCCTAAAGACACAAGTCAGATTAGTCAGATTTGGGGAAAAGAAACAAAGGATAGGTAGTCTGGGAAAATGTGGACCAGACTGAAATTTCTTGGCGACTACTGGATCGATTGCAGTGGAATTTTGAATAAACATTCATGCTCCACAGAGAAAGGAGCCTAATGACCTTGGTGATCTCTTGTGTTTTCCTCCAGCGCCTCCATGAGGTTGCAGTTTTGGTTTGGAGTGAAATATCTCGCAAACTATTGATTGAATCGCCATAAAACTTTGTACATTTAAAGTTTTTTACAGGATGAATTGCAATCCTTTGAATTATCCTATGCATCTGAAAAGGAATGGCACAACCGTTTGTCCAGACATTCCTTACTCTCAAACAATGGGTCTCATGCAAGAACATTTTCATATTCTTATCTTACATTTATCTTACTTTTTTCGTGCGCAGGGCTCGTTCGAATGTGCTATTTCTGATTCAGTAAAAGCTCCTAACTTCAGATAACTTTTAAAATGATCCTGTTTACACATATAAGTAATAATAAATAAATAAGATTAAGTAATTCAGCATGCGTTCATGAGAATTATAAATTAGCATATTTAATGCCACCAAAAATACCACGCATATCACGCAATAATGTCATGTGTCCAAGCCCATATGTCAGTCCATGTATTCATAACAGAAAGTCGATAATCTTTAAATGTGGATTGGTGGATTTAAGGGACCATGTTGAAGTCAAGGAATGGCAAAAAAAAGTATTGTTAATGCCGTGTCACCTGATGGTAGTACAGCCTCTCAACTAAAGGAGAAATGGTTCAATTTGAAAATGGCTTCAAAAGAACGTGTCATCACAGCAATAACGATATAGATAATTGCAACAGGAGGTGGTCATTGGGAAGTCCGCATCACAAAGATGGACCACAGAATATGTGCCATAATATGATGTCACGATGAGAAGCATTGCAACAGAGGATGTTCCCCTGGAAAGCAACTTGCATAAACCTGCTCAGGCCTGACTGAATGGCAACCACATTAACACTATCAACGGGTATAAAATGGACACAGCTTAAAAATCTCCCCCATTCCTACTTTTTTTTAAACCTCCTTTGTCCAAATGTAAATGTAAGTTATGCGGAAAGAACTGTCAAACAATCGTGTTCAATATTTTCTATTATTCAGAAGAAGATCAATTAGACTCTGCACCATAGGCAGCACCATCTGTCGTCTCCCAGGCACACAAGTGTGGTGTCTGATGCAAAGCCCTTAAAAACCAGGAGGAGATGCTGAAATATTTTCAAACTATGTGTGGCACAAAAAATAATGCCAATGCCGATAAAATCTTGTCATAATAAAGTATTTGAATGGCATGCTCTCTGCAGAAATGCTATTATGCAGAACACAGCATGCTAAAATAATATGGCATGCCACCAACTGTGTCAAGGCACATCTACCTGGCCTTCAAAACTCCAATGGTGCGCTGGACCACAGCACGGGTGTGTGTTTGACACTCGTATGTGTGCTCATGTCTGCTCTGTGGGTTGACTGGAAGTGTCATGTGCCAGGGTTAGGGTACTTGTTGGGAATTTGATGTACCTGGGTGATAATCTGATGAGGGCCAAGGGGAGCACATGATTTACAGAAGACTGGGACAAACCTGATCCGTCTCCTGTCTCCTGTCTCCTCTGGGAAGTTACTGTGGCCAGGAATGGAATTGTGGCGAGCACATGGACATGTGGTGGAATAGGGTTGGATCAGCGTGTCTGTCTGCGCGGAGTTGCAGCTCTAAAAAGTTCTAACACATTTGTAGAAATACAGCCTGGTACGCTCTACACTTCCTTTTGATGTTTTTACATACAGAGACAAATTAACTTTCATTTAGTGCATAATTTAAATCGTTTGAGATGTTCATATAGATATTGTACTGTTATACAATAGTATCAATAGCCAATTTAAATTAATAACTTGATATCATTCGGACAGGATAATGTCAACATAATTATGAAGTATATAGAATTTTTAAACTCAAAATTGCTCCAAAGTAATGAAATATACAATCCATTGGTGAAAGACTTTTGATTGGATAACAGCTGACTAATTGCACGACTCCTACGAAAAGGTCTGGACCGCTTGTAAATTGAGTTCATCCCAAAGAGAAAGTTTAAAATATGAGAAGATTGGTGAATGTGGAAAGTTCTCCTAAATCATTTAAGAATGAATCTGTTTGTATGAGTGGTTCTTGCATGAGGCCCAATGAATCCTAAGAACTTTGGTGGTCCCCCAACTTTTCCTTTAGGTCCCATCAAAATAAATTGTCTGGTGAGAGAAAGTCTGCTGGTCTGCTGATCCTCTAACTACTTCCTTGTAAAACCAAAACTATGGCAAGATTATGAGCATGGTAAACATATAACTGCTAAACATAATCATCTTAACATTATTACCATGAGTCTGTTGCCATGCTGATATTAGCCTTTCAGTCAAAATACCATTGTACCTAAGCATAGCCTCACAGTGCTGCTACCATGTTTGTAGGCTTGTAGGTTCTTACACTGCATAATGCTGATTTGGCAAACTTGGAGCCACTTAGCTTGGGGATGACAGCAGCCCAACACAAGCCCAACATATTTGGCATGCAGTATTATACACAAGCTGAATGTGCTGTAGTGCCAATGCACGCTCATTTACAGTCATGGTGCATTGTGCTACAGCTGACAGACTAGCAGTAGTGACGGGTAATTTCCATTGTTTGCTGTAAATCACCACATGGGAATGATGCTCACTGCCGTCCCTCAGGCCTTGATGTTTGTTAGCAGCATTAATATGTTCATCTCTCTGTGTTTTCTTCTCTCTCTCTCTCTCTCTCTCTCTCTCTCCAGGGCAGTGGTTTGTCAGCACAGCAGAGGAGCAGGGCTGGGTGCCGGCCACATACCTGGACTCCCAGAATGGAACCAGAGATGATTTGGATCTTGGCACTTCCAGGACTGGAGAGGGTTAGCGCAGACACACACACAAACACAACATTATTAGATTCATAAAACACAGAAAGACATAAATGTCAATCTGGCTGACTCGTTATTCGAGAAGGCTGCGTGGAACAGGCCATGTTTTCTCAATAATGGCTTTTAGCGGGTGGTTTCTTTTTTTTTTTTTTTTTTTTTTTGTCGCTCACATCTTAATCTGAACGCAGTAAACAGAATTTACTTGCACACACACTCACAAACACATTTCCAGTCACGTATTAGGAACCTCGAAGACCAGTCGCAGCACCATGGTGAAATGGTACCAGACCGCAGCCAATGGGTTTGCAATATTTTGGCACCACAGAAAATTCCTTTCAGCTCCCCCGGGAGGCTGCAAACTCTTGCAGGAGCCTTGTTTTGTTGTGACCTTTTCCTCTCGAATGTTTAGTCTGTCTGCTGGAGTGAAGCATTTCTTCACTGTTCCATCAGCTCCTCTCTGCATTTAGACCAAAGGAATCCAATAGAGATAAATAAAAGTATGCACACATCCATGCTTAGAAATACTTGTAAAACTCTTCTGTGTGTACAACACATGCACACAGTTTATCTGCAGTAGTCTGTGGTAATGAAACAAAGGTTTATTATGCTGTAGGTGCCGCTGGATTATCCAAGAAACATTTTCTTGTCTCACATTAAGAAGTGCTAGCCACCATGCTTCATTGAACTGTGCACATTCTGAAACACACACACACACCCACCCACACACACACACACTCCCTTACTTGTGAGGACTCATCATTGACATAATGCATTCCCTAGCCCCTTACCCTAACCTTAACCGTCACAACTGAATGATAAAACCTAAAACCAAGTCAGAACCCTCAAACAGCCATTTCAACCTGTGGGGTCCAGCATTTTGGTCCCTACAAAGCACCATAGGCCCCACAAGTATTATGGGCTCCTGCTGTTCAGACCCCATGAGTGGAGTAAAACAACACACACACACACACACACGCACGCACGCACGCACACACACACACACACACACACACACACACACACACACACACAGCTAGAATGAAGATGCTTCTGCAGAGTTGTTGCTGTTACTGTTATTTTCTGTGTCATTCATTTCTCAGATTTTTTTTAAACACTCACACATTCACACACTTAATAGATGTCGGCAGTGCCTGTAACAGAGACAGTGAAATAATATCTTGATGGATATGGAGCATTGATGCTTGTGGATTGGATATTTGTATTGTTTTAATGGGGATTACATTTGTGCTTTTTCATTTCTTTATTGTTTTTACTCAGATGTGATTTGGCGTGCTGTGCTATAGAAGATCAAATACCTTTAAAGGACAATTGTATTACAACAAAGTTTTATTATTAAAGCTTTGGCCATTGTTGCCACTGTCTCTTTCAGTCTTGATAACAATGTACTCACCAAATTAAAGGTCATTTTACAAATAGTGCAATTTTTTAAGCAGCAACTTGTTTTTTGTTTTTTTAGAATTAGTTTTGTGGTCCATTTCGTCCTGTTTTTGTCTGTGATAAAACAGGTTAATCCAATAACAGCAAGCCATATTTCACATGGCGACAGTTACATGCCAATTTATAGTAACGGCAGTGGCAGATAATCTTAGACACAAGTGATGTCATTTTACATAAGTGATGTCACTTGAGTCAGCCTCAGTTGGGGCTAAAGACTCCAAGTTTGAAAGAGAAGAAATAATGGGGGGTGTGAGACCTCTGTAGCCCGGTCCTGCAGAGCGTGTGTTGTGCTATGACAGTAGCGGCTAAGGAGACATAAGCCGCTACTGGCATAACACACCTGAATCTCCAAGCAAACTGCTGGCAGTCGAGTTGTGGGCGCCAGAGAATGTGTGGAAATCAAAAGACAATGTGTCTCACTCTGCTGTGTCAATTTTTAATCCTTTTTTTTTTTTTTTCTTCTTCTTTTGAAAACGTCTATTGTGAGTTCAGCACAATGCTACATCAGTGGAGTGCTCTTTTAATTGCTGAGATTTTGGAACACAGCAGCGGCACAGCAAATAAAAAGACATCTAATGGGGTAACACACAAATGCAGTCGAGGGTTAAGACATTTTATCTAAACCACGGTAATAAACTGGAATCATCCTTGAAGCCGGGCTGGATCTGGCAGCTATGTTAAAAGGGACACGCTCCAAATTACATTTGGTTTCCTCACTGTCTTGCTTCACTGTGAACCAAGGCACTCGAGTGAATTTATGCAGGAGGGGCCTGAGCTCACAGCTACTGCATATTCAAGTACACACACAGACACACACAGACACATGTAGACATGCTTACACTTCTGTCTTTGTGAGGACCCTTGTTCACATAATGCAAAACTAAATGCCCCTAACCCTAACCCTCAATCTCTAGTCCTAACCCTAAAACCACGTCCTGAACCTCAAACAGCCCTTTGAAGATGTGAGGACCAGATAAAGTGTCCTCACTCCATAAGTCTTTAAATCGAAAAGTACAATACACAAACACACACACACACACACATGGACACACAGACAATGTGACAAGAGTCCTCTGTTTGGCAAAAAGGGGATGAAGTAATTGAATGTGATTCGGGCCAATGAGAACCCAGTCACGTCTCTGAACAACGGCAACCTTTAATGTATGATCATTAATTTCTTTCCTGATCAACATCCCCATCTACCATAGTCGACGTAAATGGAGACTCGTGAGTCAGGCATTGGCTGCCCACACCAAACCCAAAGTCCTCATGACTGTACTCATGTGCTCAGATTGGGTTCCAATTGGAGGAAATAAAGAACAAACCAGACTCGCACTTCGCGCACATATGAGTAGAGCTTCATGTGTACATTTACCCTAACTTATGTATTTACTGCAGTGTGTGTTGTTGCGACTTAACTGTGGTTTTGATGTGCGCTGTTAGTCTCTTAATGTCAGCACTCTTTATTCTGCTGACGGTTGACTATAACCAAACCGGGGTCCCACCGGCGCGGTCCAGCCCTCTTTGCAGAATGGGCCCTTGCGTCTCATAGTAAACTGATGAACGATTGAGGAGGCCAACAAGGACGAAAACAAAAAACAAACGAATCATTGGAGTTATTTGTAGTGACGAACGGATAAAGTAGCCAAAAGTTGAACAAAAGGCAAAAAAAAGAAAAAAAGCTGTTGTCGAGTAGAGGCAGAGAAAAGGGTTTCCAGCGAACAAATAACAGCTTCATGCTAAGGCACAGTATGACGAGCCAGGTAGGATCAGTTGTGCGGCTGATAAAGGCTTTGTAAGTTGCTACCCAGTTAGTACTGTTTAATGAAACAACACTGTTTGTTAATCATTTTGTATTGCAAGGTTCCAAAACACTGACGCAATTTTAGTGGCTAAGAACCCTGCAACAGTTGGGCCAGCCCTATAAACAGTGAATTCGCTGACTGACTGTGAGATTTGAAGATGTAAGCTTGACTTGTGCTAAGTCACTGTTGGTAAGATAAATTGAGACGCAAAAATCTTACAGTGTAAGCTGGTGTTTCTTTGTACAGGATCAACGTTGCGTTATAGACTAGTTCTAGCACAGTCTTGAAGTATGGCTCGTGTGGAAATAACGTGCTGAGTTCAACATATTGGCTTAAACATTCTCAGTCACTATTGTCATACTAGGTTCCGTTGTCTGACAGCAGCACAGAAAAACATGTAAAATGAGAACAGCAGCTTTATTGGGAAGTGGTCCAGCCAAATATCTAGGGCTTGACCTTGTCTTGTTCTAATTTTGAGGGTCTTCTTTTCTTTCTTTTTATTTTTTTTTTCTTTACTGAGCAGGGACAACAGATGTACTTATGAGTTACAATTTAAAAAGGTAAAACTCATGCAGAGCACCTGCAATAAATCCGCATCTACATAAATGTATGTTGACTTTTAAGGAGCAGAGAGCCGTTAAATACTTTACCGTTTACATACTTAACACCCACCCCCACACACACACACACACGCCACAACCACACCACACACACATGAATAGTGTGAGACAAAAACAAAAACAATCACAGCTGCCTATAGTGACAGAAGGTCGTCAGCAAGTTTTTCCATATTTTCTATCCCCACACATCATCACAGCCAACTAGTGGGCTCTGGTGCAGTGTTAGGTTTCACTCTGACAGGAAGGTAAAAACGGAAGCTTCAGTAGGACTGTTCATAAACACACAGCGTTCTCCTTCCAAGTCACACAAAGTGGCAAAGAGAGAAGTTTCACTGTGTGCTGTCCAACCACAAACCTAAGCTCAGTCAAAGGAATTTTTTCCCAATAAAACTATAATTTGTTTGGACTAATGAAATGTTTAAAAAGGGGTAAAATGCCTTTTACAATTTCCCAGAGTCCACGCAGTGGCATCTCTAAATGACCAAAAGTTCAGTTTACAAAGATATAAAGAAGAGAGAAGGAGCAAACACACTGCATTTGTTGTGGTTTCTTGAATCCATGACACAAATCTAGAAAATAAGGAAACATTTCGAGATTAAGCATATAACGTTAGTAAGGATCCATTTATATGTATATACACTACAAACTTGCATCTTATCTAACTTATCTAATTTCAGTCTAGAATTGAGTCGCAAAAACTTTATATTCTTAAAATTAATCTGCCATTCCAGTGAGAATATTTTCAACCTATTTGTAAAAGAAATCAACTTATTTCAAGATTTTTTTTTAATTGGAGTGTCAAATACCTGTAAAACAGAAAGAATAAGGTAGGCTGTCAGTGACTCGATAGAAGATTTTGGCAACATTACTATATTCTGCACAGAAGAGCTCAGATCAGCTGATCGTACTGATATAGATATAGCAGTTATTGATGAGGTCTACATGCAGTATCTCAATGGGAGTCTACTGTATTATAGTCTGTAGCTGTTGTGTGCTGAATCTCACCTCTTTCACTCCTTATTAGTTCAAACCTTTGTATACTACATTAGCAGTGATAGCATGATATCTCATTTTCCTATAGTGCGTTCCCCGAGGCAGCAGATGAAAG